CCTTATCTCTACTTTTGTTGAAGAGACAGTATAACCAATAATAGGAAGGAACAAGGGTTTTTTCTAGTTGAGATAAGAATATCTATACAGGGAGTTGACTCACATTACTTTCCTGTGCATGTGTGTTACCTTCTAAGTCAATTCTTCTCTAGCTAACCTTTTTGCTAATTCCTGGTCCCCTTCTCTTATTGGCCTCAGTTGCTTTAAAGTATCTGCTTTAGTTTCTCTGCGTTGAGGGCAACAAATGCTATCTAGCTTTTTGGGTGTCTTACCTATCCTCATACCTTCCTTGTGTGTTCTTGCTTTATCACGTGATCAAAGTCCAATTCCCTTGTTGTGTTTGCCCTTGATCTAATGTCCACATATGAGAGAGAACATACGATTTTTGGTCTTTTGGGCCAGGCTAACCTCACTCAGAATGATGTTTTCCAATTCCATCCATTTACCTGCGAAAGATAGCATTTCATTCTTCTTCATGGCTGCATAAAATTCCATTGTGTATAAATACCACATTTTCTTAATCCATTCACCAGTAGTGGGGCATCTTGGTTGTTTCCATAACCTGGCTATTGTGAGTAGTGCTGCAATAAACGTGGGTGTGCAGGTGCCTCTGGAATATTGTAGATTTTTTAGATGAAATAAAAACAACATGTTTAGTAAACATCAATTATATTCCCTTTGAAGTGACAATTACTCATTTTTTTGTATCCCATTTAATATTTTGTAGAAGTGACTTTTTTTGAGACAGGGTCTCAAAATAAAAAGCGAATACATGATATTTTATGTCACCCTGAAAATATCTGAAATGGGTATACATTAGATACTTCCATGTAATGAAGGAAACAAGCTATATTTTCACATTAAAACAAAACAAAACACTACTTCCCAAAGAGATATCCTATGAATTACAAAATAATACTTGTAGAGACAGTGAGCTGCTGGCTCTGGAGGAATGGAGTAAGAGGGTTGTGTGTCCTTAATAAATAAACTTTAGTTTTAAACTGTGTAAGAGTGGCTCAGCTTAGTATTCTTTCTGGTTTTGTGTTTTCTGACTTAAGTCCGAATAGGTGGATAATAATTTGTTTTTACTGGTTAAAACAGAACCAAGTGTGGCTAAGTTAGGGAGTAAAGAAAAGGGTGACACTTGGAGGATGGAGGGGCTTTAAGTTGATCTTCATGACTGTTGGAGTAGAGAAAGTAAAAGGAAATTAGAAATTTTTTTTGTCATAAAAGCATTTTGTTATTACTTTGTTCTTTCAGGTGCTAATAAATACCATGTTTGAGAATAATCTAGACCAACTTAAACAATGATCAGTTATAAAATATACATTGAAGGCTTGGGGATGTGGCTTAAATAGTAGAGCACCTGCCTACTATTTAAGCCCCAGTATCCCTCCCCCCACCCCCTGCAAAAAAAAGTTCTTACCACTTAAGAACAAGAGGCCTGTGATTATGGCATATCAAAAATTTTATGTTTGTCAGGTTTCTGTAGGTCATTTGGGGTCAGTGAAGTTTCATATTCATCCCATATACTATTATACTTGATAGTATACAATTTATACATTCTTTTCTTTATTTAAGAAACACTTCTAGGTATTTTGATAATCCAGTGGGGAGGGCAGTTTTTGTTTGTTTACTTGGTTTTGTTTTTTTGAGATAGGGTAGCTTAGTCTCACCTTGAACTCTATCCTCCTGCTTTGGCCCCCTGAATGCTGGGATGTCAGGCATGTGCTATCATCCCAGCATTCCTGGTTTTTTGATAGTAGCTAACTGGCAAAAACTTCTGTTAAATTTTCCAGTGTCTAAGTGGATAACAGTAAGAATTTGTTTTGTTTGTTTGGTTTTGGTTTTGGGTTTTTTTTGTTTTTGTTTTTGTTTTTTGTGGTAGTATTGGCATTTGAAATCAGGGAAGGCTTCTTACTATACCCCTTGAGCCACACTCCCAGCCCCAACCATAAACAGTCTTACTCTTTTAATACTAGCTGCTGGACTGATAAAGTATTCCTCTGTTTTATTGTCTACCTTGACACTTACAGTATATTTTCTAAGGCAACAATGGCATCTGAATATATATATACACTGGCATGGAATTGTCTATCTAAATTGTGGTACATAAACTAATAGATTTGAGATTGTATTATGCACAATTATTGGTTTTGCTCTATCTTCTTTGTCTTTTGTTCAGCTAGTATTCCTGTATGTAAATAGAAATTCCAATATTTAAAAACATGAATAGTTATGTTTGCATGGCTAGGGTTAATGAGATTTTTTATTATTTAGGATAATCAAGGATGAAAGCTGGTGCAAGAGAATTTTTTACTTTTAACTATAAGCTTTATTATCTTTGCCAGTTGTCTTTGAACTCAGGTGGCCTTGGGTCAGCAAATTTAATAATCCAAAGAATTTTCAATCCACATATGACATTTGATTCTAGCTTCTGTGAATTTAGGCAGGTAAGTTAGGCAGATGTACCCATTTGCTAAACAGGGAATCTGAAGCATGGGACTGCTTCTGCTTATTCATTTGGCATGGAATTCAGATCTTCTGTTGTTAAATCCTTTTGTCTTTCTCATGTGTCTTTTCTAGATTGAAGCAGTGTTTGCTTTATTAATTTAATGTTTAGCGTTTACTGCTGCTAGTCCAAGCACATTCCCTTGAAATTTATATGCTATGGAAGACATATTTTTCCTTGTCAAATTAATACTCTCTTCAGCCACTTTTCTACAACACTCACACTATCTTCACATGCAAGTTCAACTGTGTAGAACAGCTGAACCTATTTCCCCAAATTGCCTTTTAGGTAATTGCTTGCCAAATAGTATATAGTCTACAAACTTACAAGTATCTTAGATATTTCTTTCTGTTCTTATAAATAACTTTAAAGTTTACTTTATGTAGTTTTAGTTGTTTATTGTAGGAAAAAACAACTAATATAAAACAAAACATTTAGTTTTTTTTTTTTTTTGTTCACCAGCCTTTTTTCGTGAGTGTATTTTTGAGATAGGGTCTTGCAAGATACTTGCCCAGGCTGGCTTCGAACTGTGACCTTCCTGAACTCTGCCTCCTGAGTAGCTAGGATTACAGACATGAGTTACCAGCACCCAGCACATCCATAAATTTCTTAAAGGAGTTTCTAATTTAAATCTGAAATAGCAGCTTGCTCTGTTAAAGCAGCATTTTATTTCATTATTTTCTTGTTTCCATTAGATTTTTGTGAAGACATGAACAATTTTGGAAAATTTAGCTGGATTTGGAAAAATAAGATTGAGGAAAATACAAACAGTGATCTTTGATACGAAAGTGATTTTTGTAGTCATTCTTAGAACCAAACTTTTAAAATAATTCAGATTAGCTGGTGGAGTGTCTCAAGCAGTAAGAGCACCTGCCTAGCAAGCATGAGGCCCTACATTCAAACCCCAGTGCTAAAGAAGAAATAATATAGATTTAAATTTAGCGTTATCCCTACTATACAGCTCCTTGCTGTGAAAAGTTAGCCCTAGAGATAGAATAATGCAGTGGGTAATTAATGAAAATTATCCAGTTTTGGATACAACTTTGGTGTTGAAAGACTTTACTGCTAACCATTTGGTGTATGCCTTCAGTGGATGCCTGAAACCTCTGATAGTACTGAACCCTGTACTTGTGTGGTTTTTTTTCCTGGACATACATACCTATGATAAAGCTTAATTTATAAATAAGGCACAATAAAAGATTAGAAACAATGACTGCTAATAAAAAATAGAACAGTTATAACAATATATTTTAATAAAAGTCAAATGAATGTAGTCTTTCTTGAACAGAATCAAGACAAATACTAGTATTTTCAGAATGCAGGCAATTAAAAACCATGGAAAATGAGACCATGGAGAAGGGTCATTTAGACCTATAAGAGATTATATACATTATTGTGATTTATTAGGTTTCCACTAATTTTATTTTACTCTTACCTGTCCCCAAGACTATGATTAGAATTTACATATACTGGGGGTAGGGGGAAGGGGAAAGTAATGACCCAATCATTGTATGCACATATGAATAAAGGAAATAAAAAAGAAAAAGAAAAATGTACCCAAATAAGAGGAGAATCCAAAAAAATAAAAATTTACATATAGTTTATTTGTGTAACTATTTTCTGAAAATCCTCAGTCTACATGTTTATAGATTTATAGCACCACTTGGACAACATACTAGTGTAGCTGCTTGAATTCTTAATCTGTACTGTCACTTAGAAGAGACAGAAATAAAGAAAATAAATAATGGGATTTTTTTTCTCTTCACTTCTCATATGGTAGTATTTTGCTCTTATATTGTATGTGTATTTTCCACACATTGCTGAAGGTTTTATTCTCAATGAATTTACACTTTATGAAGATTCTAAACCATCTCTGTGATGCTACTAGCTAATATTATATAGAACAGTGGTAGTGAGTTTTCTTCTAAAATTAATTATAGTACTTTCGTATAGGTCTGAGATACCACTCTTCATTTTCTATGTTTTATTTATGTAAGACAGTTTCCTCTTTAGTTATCCTGACAAACCAATATCAACCCATAAGTCTTTCTGTATTAGTTGAGCTTTTTTTTTAAAGAGTACTATAATAATATGCCCACCAAACCACCCACACATGGACTCATTATTCAGAATAGTTAATATGCTCAGTTGACTAATGTGTTAGTATGCAAGGTTTAACAAGATTTTCTAACCTATTAGAACATTTGGCCTTCTTTTTAGCCAATAATTTCCCTTTACCTCAAAGACAGATGTTACCAGCTGAAGTTTTTTCATTGCCACATGTGGAAGTAAGTGACCTAAATGTCAGACTGTTCCTTGTGAGAAGCTAAATTGCCAATCCCTACCTCTAATCCTGCTCAAGCAGGCAAATCAGAAAGCCAGGATGGTAAGAAAGCAACCTAGTAGAACCTGTTCGGATATTGAAAAACAAAATTCAAATACCATGCTTTCATTAATGTGGTTTTGTGGTTAATTTTGTGGCTTTCAGGGAGTGAAGCCAGCCAGTTTTGACAAAGTAGCAATTCCTGAAGTGAAGGAAATTATTGAAGGATGCATACGGCAAAACAAAGACGAACGGTGAGTTACCTTTTGACCTGGTGTTTCTTGAACAAAAATCTAAAACATAGTGTCTTCCAAGCACAGTACTCAATATGAGGTCTATTTAATACTTCTATGTACTTTTTCCATTTATGCCTTGTAAGAGTTTTCAAAGTAGGGTTCTCTCCATTGAAGCTATTCTCACTTGATAGTCGATAACTAAAAATGTGACTTATTGGAGTTTAAGTAAATCAAAGCACAGTTTCTGCATTCAGTGAGATCTACTTATATAGCATGATCATAATTAATAAAACTCAAGAGAGTTTTCTCTTTTTTTAAAAAAAAATATTTTATTGTTTTTACATTTACTTACGTGAGTATACATCATTTGGGCCACCTCCCCCTGAGAATACATTCTCTAATGCAGAAAGTTCTATATTTAGTCCTTTACACTTTGAATTTAAAAAGGTAAAATAAAATCTTAACTCTTTAAAATCAACCCAGTTGTCCAGGTCTTGATTTCCTGTCATTATGCCAGAATTGAAGAACAAAACATCAAAATTCCTTTGAGTAAAAAAAAAAAAAAGAAGACTTTGGAGGAGATCTAGCTTAGTCATTTGGCTAAGAGTAGTTTTTTTTCAGAGGAGTTGCAAGAATCTGATTTACCATATAGCTGACTCATCACCTGATAGGCAAGGCAAAGGTCCAATATCTGTTTTTGAAAAATAATCTTCTACCATCCACCTCATATGGGCCAAAAAAGAAAAAGTACCTGGCCTAATACAAATATAAATTAAAAATTGAGAGCAGTCTACCTCCTGACAAATGGGAGCAATCAGGTATATCATCCAAATTAAAGAAGTCTTCATCTTCACTTCTCTAGTCTCATATTCTTTTCTTAACTTTGTTATTTGGAAGAGCTTAATATCATGATGACATTTTAGTAGAGACTTCGTTTGAGTTTCTATTTTTATATACACTGAGCCCTTAAAACTATTTAAAAACTTTTTAAACTACAAACAAAGCAGTATTTGTTTTGAGTCTTAAAATTTTACTACTCTATTTCTTTTCTGGATGAAACCGTTTTGCTAGATTACTGGTATTTTGAAACCATTTTGTCTAAAGAAGATTGTTACACAATCAGCTTTCTGCTTGCCTAGTCCACAAATCATTAACAAGGAATTGAAAGAATTTCTTGAGGAAAATAAAGGTTATGGTAGTAGAAGGTACCAAACTAAATGAAAGTTGTTTTTTTTTTTTTGTCGTCTTTTTTTGGTTCTGGGACGGAACCCAGGGCCTCGTGCGTGCTAGGCAGGCACTCTACCACTGAGCTATATCCCAGCCCTAAATGAAAGATTTATGTTCTAGTTTTGATCATGTCATTTACAACTTTAGAATATAAACAAGACAACGTTTGTGAGCTTTTTTATTTTGTAATAATCAGGAGATGATATTTCATTGGATATTGATGAAGATCAAACATAGAAGTGGTTTTTTTGTTACTTATAAAATAATATATAAATGGTATGTGATATTTTGAAGCTTTAACATTTTTTGCATTACTTGCCTTTATTCATACCCTATTACTAGTAAGATTACATCACTTGATTTAAAAATTATCACTATCAGCTCTTATTCATAAAACAGATTGATATTCTTTTATAGTCCTTTTTTTCTTATATAAATAACAACCCAACACATTTGAAAATTGTTTTCAATCTGGGCACTGTGAGACAGTCCAGCACTTGGGAGGCTGAGGTAGGAGGATCACTTGAACTCAGGCATTTGAGACCAGACTGTGCAACATAGTGAAACCTGTCTCAAAAAAGAAAAAAATAAGCCAGATGCTAGTGGTTCAAGCCTGTCATCCTGGCTACTCAGGAAGTAGAGATCAGGATGATCAAGGTTCGAAGCCAGCCCAGAGAAACATTTCGAAAGACCCTATTTCAAAAAATCCCAACACAAAGCAGAGCTGGCTGAGTGGCTCAAGTGGTAGAGCACCTGCCTAGGAAGCATGGGGCCCTGAGTTCAAACCCCAGTACTGCCAAAAAAGAAAGAAAATTATTTTTTCACACTAATGACATTTCATTTTGTTTCTTTTCCCTCTCTTTGGAAGATACTCCATCAAAGACCTTTTGAACCATGCCTTCTTCCAGGAGGAAACAGGGGTACGGGTAGAATTAGCTGAAGAAGATGATGGAGAGAAGATAGCTATTAAATTATGGCTGCGCATTGAAGATATTAAGAAATTAAAGGGGAAATACAAAGACAATGAAGCTATTGAATTTTCCTTTGACTTGGAGAGAGATGTGCCAGAAGATGTTGCCCAAGAAATGGTGAATTGATAGTAATCCTCCATTTAGAGGTTGATGTAGATTTATGTACGCTGATACTGTTGGTCAAGAAGAAGCAAAGTGTGGCATATTACATCAGCATAAGAATGTGTTGGCCCCTAAATGTTATCTTTCAGTAGTGGGATTTTAAGTCCTTCTGTACCTTTTTTGTCTTGTTTTGATGATAGAGTTCTTTTGAAAAGTTGTTTTTATTTTAGGAAAAAAATATATATAGGTCTACATAGGGATGGATGAGAGAAGAGAAAACTAAAATGTATTCTGAAGTAATTTTGAAAGTCTGTGATATTAAATGACTCCAGTTTGATGACTTCAGTTGAATGACTCCAGTTAGTAAGGCTTTTAGTTAGAATGAAAGTTGTTTTGTTTGTGTGGTTTTGCTTTTTGAAAAAGGTCTTCCTGTGCCCATGCTGACCTCAAACTTGAGATTCTACTGCCTTAGCCTCCTAAGCGCTGGGATTACAGGTGTAGACCACCATGCCCATCTTCAAGAACAATTGTTAATAGTCAGCGTTTGGTGTATCCTTATTTGAAGTAGATATAAAAGATCACTTTCCCAAAAGGAAACCCTTCACCAAGTTTAGGTTTGCTACAGAGCCTAAAATAGTCAATTATTATGCAAGGATACCCAGAATATCTTTAGTAGGATTTATAAGAGCCATTCAATAGTAATTTCTCTGAAAGGGGGTCAGGTATGACCCCTTTTTTTTTGTTTTTTATTTTTGTTATTTTTTTCTTATTATTTGTTTTTTATTGCTAATTTTATGTACTGAGTTTGGGGTATTTTAAAAGCATATACTTGTCACAGTTTTATCTGGATAAGTGGTTGCCTCATGAAAGGAAGTAAAAGTAACTCAGGTTGTTAACAATTGCATGTGAGATGGGAATAGAGTGGAATTAGACTCTTCTGCAAAGATGGTAGCATATACCCTTTGAGCATCTATCATGATGGTGGGGAAGTACAGACCAGTAATTTCACCATTTTGTTAAGACCAGTCCTGAGAGTACTTTCTTCCCCTTGTTTGCTTTCCCAAATGCCTTTTTGTTTTATTTTGTAGTTGTTTTCTTTTGATACCCTCTTTCTTTTCTAAATTACACCCTTTTATTCTATAGGTAGAGTCTGGGTATGTCTGTGAAGGTGATCATAAGACCATGGCTAAAGCTATCAAAGACAGAGTATCATTAATTAAGAGAAAACGAGAGCAACGGCAATTGGTGCGAGAAGAACAAGAAAAAAGGAAACAGGAAGAGAGCAGTCTGCGACAGCAGGTCGAACAACAATCGAGTGCTTCCCAGACAGGAATCCAGCAGATCCCTTCTGCTAGCACTGGCATGCCTACTGTTCTTGCCACTTCTGCGTCAGTTTCTACACAAGTAGAACCCGAAGAACCTGAGGCAGATCAGCATCAGCAACTACAGTACCAGCAGCCTAGTATATCTGTGTTATGTAAGTGTTTGGGGACACAGGCAAATGTGCTAATCATACTCCTAATAGACTTTTTTTTTTTTTTTTTTTTTTTTTGCACTGTGTTGGGTATGGAACCCAGGGCTAGGCAAGTGCTGTACCACTGAGCTTCTTGTCCATTTTGGACTATGATCTTGGTTTTGAATTAT